GGTGCAGTGGGACGAGCCTCAGACCAGGGGCCAGAGGGCTGGGTGCTGGATCTCTGCTTGGCAACTCTTCCTCCCTGTGACCTTGGGAAGCCTCAAGATCCTCATCTGCAAAATGATTCCAGGGGTCCACCCCACCTCTTCAGAGAGTTGTCATGAGGTGGAGGTGGAGACAGAAGGTGAAGGTAGAAAGTTCTGGGCCTCGCTGTGTAGCTACAAAAGGTCACCTGAGCTCATCCTGCTTTACTCAAACTGCAGCCCTGGCTCATGGAGAGAGAATTCCCAGTCATGAGCAGCTCTGCCCTGGGGGGACAAGCTGAGCTAGGCTGCACACAGAGATCACAGGCTTCCCTCAGTCCCATGCTGGAGCCTGTTAACAGAACATTCTGTAGGAGCCCAGGCCCCCATCTGTAGTCTGCACTGTGGTCTTAGCAGCAGAGATGCTTCACTGTGCTGGGCTCCCCTCCCTCACCCAGTGGGATCACAGGGCTGCTCAACTGGCCAGGAGGGCAGACGGTTAGGGCAGAGCCCACAGCCACCATCCTGAGCCCTGCCTGCTCACTTCCCCAGGGCAGGCCTGCCTCTTACTCCCAGACCCTCTAAGGGGCCAGGATCTGTATTTCGGAAGTGAAGAGGCAGCGTTCTGATCCCTTAACTCTGAGCCACATTGTCCCTTGGGGACAAAGAAAAGACACACCCCCTAACAAAGCCCTTCCCCACCACTGGGCAAAAGCTTACCCACAGGTCTTGCCAAATGGGAAACTTCTCCCAGGTCAAATTCAGGTAGTGCTGGTTCCCACCCCAGCCCAGTCACTTGCCTGATGTACGACCTTGAGGAGCCCCTGACCCCACTGGGACTGCACTTTCCAATCTGTACGATGGAGATGCTGGCCAGGTGTTTGGACAGATCAAGGATGCCGAAATTGAGCATGGCTAAGCGGAACTGAGGATGAAAACCTCTCAGCAGAAGCCCCCATGACACACTCCAGAGCTCAGTGGAAGCTGGGTCATTTCTAGAGCACTGGGCTGGGTTCAGCTGTGAGCTGGCCAGTGGGCTCTTCCAGTATCTAGGCTGCGAGTTAGATCATGAAGGGCTGCTGAGTAGTTTAACCCTGCCCCTCCTGCTCCAAGATGGAGCACTTGAGCTCAAATGCAGGTGGTGACCTTGCCCAAGGTCATGCTGCATGTCAGAGGGACAGACAGCCCCGAGCCCTGGTCCTTCAAGTTTCACAAAGGCCAGGGCTCTGGCCAAAGCCTTCCCTGCCTTCCAGAGTAGGAAGCCCTGCCTAGCAGACAGTAAGAGAAGGTTAACAATTCCTCTGCTGAGGCTGTGAGTAGAGGCACTGATGAAGCAGCCAGATCCAGCCCCTTTCAGAACCATGCCATCCACACATACAGCAATAATGCCCAAGGTCCCCGACAAGCCAACAAGCCATCCTGGGGAGAGGAAGGGCACCCTAAACAGGTTTCCACATCTGTTGATCTGAGTCCACCCTGCTCCCTCTAGAATGTGGTTTCCAAATCTGTACAATGCCAGGAATCCCAGTTTTCCCAGGCACACTCCACCCCGATCTGAGCCCCACCTCCTGTTGGGAGGCTATTCTAAGATGCATGTACCTATCCTTCTAATGGATTCGCTAGAAACAGTTTAACATTCTGATTTATCTCAGTCAACGGAAGAGTCTACAGCCCGCCACACTCCCACCACGCACGGCGCGCGCGCGCGCGCACACACACACACACACACACACACACACACACACACACTGTGCTCATCTTAACCACAACCTTTATCTCCACACAGGGGACTGCTGTTAATGCTGAGAATGGGCCTCCCTCTTGGTTTTGAGATGAGATTCGGACTAAAAATAGCCCATGAGGTGCCTGCTAATGGCCAGGCTTTCAAATGATCTTGCTTGGGCTTTCTAGAATGCTGGGAGCGGGCGGGAGGCTAGGCGGAGGGGTTTGGTGTTCTTGGGCAAATCTCGAGTTTCTTCCAGCATCACTGAACTCCTGGCCTGTTTCCAGTACATAAGATTTGCAAATTCCTTATTCTCTTAAGCCTCTTTTTTGTTGAAATCCCCTGTTGAAAAGTCCAGGCTTCAATTATAAGGGCACTGCTGCTAGAGAGGAAATAAGACTGGAAATAGAGGGCCTCACTTTGCAGAAATCCTAGGGAGGGACCTAAAGTGGCTCCTTGTCCCTTGCAGGTAGGCAGTGTGGATTTCTTAAAAGCTAGAAAGGCATGTGACCCAAGGACACTCAGAGTGTCGCCTGCAGGGACCAGGCAGCTGCTAAAAGGCTATAGCCTCTCACTAGCAGCCTCCTCCCTGCACCCCCTGAAGACAGGATTGGGGCTGTCACAAGCACTGACAGAACCTGGTAGGTGCCTCTGCCAGCATGTCAAGGCCCCATGACTGTGGGTGAAGCCACAGCCTTCGGACGAAGCCTCCTTAGGATTCCTCACACCCCCACCTGCCATTCTTGCCCCGCCTCAATGTCCAGCCTCACATCACAAGAGGTTCCAGAGCAAGCACAGACAAATCATTGTTGCCACCACACAGGGGTAAACAGGCCACGGGCAACTGCACCTGGGTGGAAGTGTTTCTAAAATTAGAAAATTCCCTCCCTTTGCAGCAGTCATGTGGTTTCCAGGCTATCACAGACCACTCCTGCATTGTTTACACTGGGCTCATTCACATCACCTGCCTGGCCCGGAATGTGGGGGTCGGGGGGCGCACCTGGGTCCATGTGCATGCATACGCCTGTGTGATGTCTAAGTGCCTCAGTTGCTGAGACGCAGCATCCATTACTGCCCACAGAAGCAGACACAGCTGGGAAACCACACATAAGCTGTGAGCACCCCACCTCCCCCTGTGAGGATGCTGGGACTCCTACCTGTCCATCCCTCAAGGCAGGTTCTTCCCACGTCCACTGGAGACAGGGTAAAGATGTCCTGAGTGCGAGACTCAAGCCCCAGAGGAGGCTCGGCCCTGTGACAGGTTCTCAGCACAGACCAAATGGCAGGAAAGGGGGCCTGGGAAATGCCTTTAACTGAGTCTGGAGCACAGCGGGCCAGGGCACACCTCCTCTATGACATGAGAAAGGGCCTGTCCCACAGCACTGGTGCCTCAGTGGCTGGGGAAGAGAATGGGAAGAGCCCCCTGAGTGGACAGAGGATACACCTCTCAGGCCCTCCAGGCTGAGGGCAGAGGGAAGGGCAGACATGTCCCTGGGCCCTGCTCTGCAGAGAAAGCCTTCCCCTCCAGGCTGTGCCCTCACACACAGATGCGCATGGGCTTCCCCAAAAGAGACTTACTCAGAAAATGTCTCTGGGCACTTGAGCAAGGCCTCCTAATTTCCCTCAGAACAAAAAGGTTCCAGCTTGAGGCCCCACTGCCCCCACTCCAGGGCTGTATTTCACTCTCCCAGCCTCTGCCCAGAGGAGGGGTAGCTGAGAATGAACATGATTATTTGAGTAAATACTGTGGCCCAAGCTTTACACTATGTATTTTAAATGCTTCCAAGGACATTTGGAAGTATCTCATTTCATTACAGTATCTCATTTCATCCTCCTAACTGTCCTTGGAAGCATCATCATGTTCATCCTCATACCCACTGTACAGAAAGGGAAACCAAGGCTTGGTGGGGTGAAGCACCTTGCTCAAGGTCTCACACCAGGGAGCAAGAAGGCAAAGTTCCACCTAATGGTGGTCTGGTCCTGAGACCCCACTCCTAATTGCTGTTTCTTCCACCTGAGTCAGGATTTAAAAGGATGTCTCTTCATATTTTGATGACCCAAGATGCAGGATGCAAAACACACAGAGGAGGGCAGGAGAGGCTTGATCAGAACTGCCCCCTCCTCTACCCTCTTGCTTCTGCCCGTGGTCAGTTCTGACCAGGCAGGTGGGGTCATGGTGAGCACACAGGTACACTAGAGCACACAGTCCAGTATCACCAAACACTTCCTAAATCTCAAGAGACCAATAGTCAATGCAGCTGTCCATTCTCTGTCTCAAGATTGCCACATGTGCTTTAACCAGCACCACCATGACCTTCTCCAGCCAAACCTGCTTCGGGACCCCATCTGGGGACAATCAAATCTGCACACATTTCCAGAGGGAACTATCAAGGTAGGGCATGCTTTGATGGGTCCAGAGGTGCAGGGCTGACTGCACGCTTTATGTTCATAGTCTCACTCTAGCCCCGCAAATGCCTGTGAGGCTGTCCATCCCTCAAAGCAGGTTCTCCCCATGCTGAGTGCAGTCCCATTTTACAACTGAGGAAACTGAAGCTCAGAACGTTGAGGTAGCCTGGCAGAGGTCACATGGCCACGAGACAGAGGTCTGGTGTTGGAATTCCGCTCTGCCCAAACAGGGCTGTGCTGTGGCAGCTCCAAAGCAAAGGGCATAGCAGAGCCAGCAGGGACATGCGGGTTTGGAGGCAGAGCCGTTCTGAGCAAACTCTGCCTGTCAGGCTGACATGCTGTTTCTCACAAATCGAGTGCTTGGAATCAATGTGGGATCACTGAGGGGTTCTGTTTTGTTCCAGGTTTTGACCCATTAACCTGTTTCTCTATGTAATGGACAAGGCCACATTTTCAAATACTCCTGTGCTTCCCACGCAGTTAGAGCCTTGGTTTATTAATATAGATTAAGAGAAAAGAATTATTTAGAACCCAGCTGTTCTCATTATATTTTAAAGGATACACCAAATGCATAGTTTGACCTTAGCCCTGTTCAAAGCCTTCAGGAAAACAAATGCTTCCGAAGCAAACATCTTGGGCCCTCCATGCTAATTTCACCCCTTTTACATGTATATCCCCGTGACCACCTCCTGCTGTTTAAGAAAGCAGGAAGCATCATGCACTCCAAGGCCTCACAGGTGATTTCTCACCCAAGCCAGCCCACATTGTGTTTCAGACCTTCCAAGTGAATGTTGATTGTTTTCCTTTTCTGATACAATCGGCTCCATGAGTAAATGAAATCTGCCTCCCTTTGTTCCCCCCACCCCACCCCCCCACCTGCTGCAGTGGCCAGTGGCCAGGGAAGAGAACGGAAGAGCGCCCTGTGTGAGGCAGAGGATGCACATCTCAGGCCCTCCAGGCTGGGCATGGAGGGAAGGGCAGACATGTCCCTGGGCCCTGCTCTGCAGAGAAAGCCTTCCCCTCCAGGCTGTGCCCTCACACACAGATGCGCATGGGCTTCCCCAAAAGAGGCTTGCTCAGAAAATGTCTCTGGGCACTTGAGCAAGGCCTCCCAATTTTCCTCAGATCAAAGAGGCTCCAGCTTGAGGCCCCACTGCCGCCACTCCAGGGCTGTATTTCACTCTCCCAGCCTCTGCCCAGAGCAGGGGTAGCTGAGAATGAACATGATTTTTGAGTAAATACTGTGGCCCAAGCTTTGCACTAGGCAGACAGTAGGATTTGGTTCAAGCATTTCTTTCTTCACTACTTTGTGCCTGTGCCTTGTTTCTCGATTTAGAACAAGAAATCTGGAACTTCAGTTAGGTTTCATTTACTTGGCAAACAGTTGCTGAGCTCCCAGTCATGCAGTGTAGACACACGGATTAGGATGGCAAGACCTTGCCCGGTGTGAGCGCATGGGCCGAACAGAGAAGCAAACTAGTAAACGCACATCCAAGCACCAAGCACGGCAGCGCAGTGTTTGGGAGAAGGTCTGAAAACACAATGTGGGCTCGCTTGGGTGAGAAATCACCAGCGTCTGTGTCCTGCTCTACCTCTTACCAAGTGCATGACCTTAGGCACGTCACCTAACCTCTACAAACTTCAGTTTCCTCATCTACGAAATGGGGACAACCACTGTATCTACCCTCTGGAGTTGTGAAGACTCAATGAAACAATGGCTAAAGTAGCAAGCTGCCTGGCACACAGATTCTCACTCAGCGTGGGCTAATGTTAGAGGAACGTGCAGAGCACGGAGCTGCGTAGCATGAGTTATCGGTTCCTTTTGTAGGACAAAGAAGAAAGAAGATCCAAGGAAAGGAGCAAAGCAGCATGTGGCCCATAAGGCTGGAAGGAGAAAGGGGCTACACTGGAAAGGGCCTCATACTGAGAGACATTTCCCATCACATTCTGAGCTTGGGTTGTGACGATCAGCCCACAGGAACTGGGCTATTGCTACACCACATAGAGTGAGGCAACCAGAGGAAAGATGGCAGCCCTGTTTTATTTTTCATGGGGTGACAGCTCTTTCAAGATTGTCCTGAGTTCTGTTCAGTCTTCTGAAGACAGCTGTGAACAAAAATAAATGTTGTCCGATGTAAGTGGCTGACACTGTGGAGAAGAGTCTCAGGAAACCCCCCAGGAGGCCAGGAAATGGTCAGATGAAGAAGCCTGGTGTCTGTGGAATGGATGGAGAACAAGGAGGGCACAGACAATGCTATCTGGAAACCTGCCATGTGGATGAGTGAGCAGATGCATTCTCCTTGAACACTGAGAAAGAATAGGAAGTGAATACTTCGGGTTTCCCTGACATTGAGATCTAGAAGAAATGTCTCCTGTGAGCCTGTATAAGTTTGTTTTCATGCCACTGATAAAGACATACCCCAGAGTGGGAAATTTACAAAAGAAAGAGGTTTAATTGGACTTAGAATTCCACGTGGCAGGGGAAGCCTCACAATCATGGAGGAAAGCAAGGTGGAGCAAGTCACGTCTTACGTGGACGGCAGCATGCAAGGAGAGAGAGCTTGTGCAGGGAAGCTCCTCTTTTTAAAACCATCAGATCTCCTGAGACTTATTCGCTGTCATGAGAACAACACAGGGAAAAACTTGACCCCATGATTCAATTACCTCCCACCAGGTCCCTCCCACAACAGGTGGGAATTGAAGATGAGATTTGGGTGGGAACACAGCCAAACCGTATTAGGGTCCTTACAAGGAAGATGCTATTCTACACGGGAGACACTACCCTCAATAGTGCCAATGAACTATGTGAGTCTGCAGAGTCCTTCCTAATCACCAAAGAGAGGGGTGTCAGCCCAGATGGCCTCACAGGTGAATTCTACCAACACTTAAGGAAGAAATAATATCTACTCCACACAAATTCTTCCAGAAATTTGAAAGGAGGGACTACTTCTCAACTCCTTCTATAAAATCAGTATTTACATGGATTCCAAAACTAGACAAAGATATCGCAAAAAAACTATAGACTAATGTCCTTCATCAGCATAGATGCAAAAATTCTAAGCAAAGTTTTAACAAATAAAAGTATATTGAAAGGATAATATAACCAAGTGGAGTTCATCTCAGAAATGCAAGGTTGTTTTAATATTTGAAAAATCAGTTAACGTAACTGATCATGTGTTATGGACTAAATGTTTGTGTCCACTCAGCCAAATTCATATGTGGAAATCCTAACACCCACGATGACTTTATTGGGAGGTAGGGCCTTCTCTGAATGGAATTAGTGTCCTTATAAAAGAGACCAGAGACAGTTCCCTGGGCCCTCTTACCATACCATGTGCAGTTACAGTGAGAAGACAGTTTTCTATAAGGAAAGGGGCCCCTCAAACACCAAATCTGCCAGCAGCTTGATCTTGCACTTCCCAGCCTCCAGAACAGTAGGAAATAAATTTCTGTTGTCTATAAGTCACCCAGTATATGGGATTTTGTTATAGCAGCTGAAATGAACTAAGACATCATGTTTAAAAACTAAAAAAGAAAAGCCATATTATCATCTAAACAGACACCAAGTTTTAAGTAAAATCCAATATTTCTTTATGATTAAAATAAAACTATCATCAGCAAACTAGTAACAGAAGGAAACTCCCTCAATCTTGAAAGGTCATTACAGAAAATATACATCTACTTAAATGTAAAAGATCAGGTGCTTCCTCCTAAATTAGGAACAAGGCAAGGGTGTCCCCTCTACCACTTCCAGTCAGCAACATACTGGAGTTTCTAGCCAGTGCAAGAAACAGAACAAAGTGCATACAGATTGTCAAGGAAAAGTTAAAAACTTCATTCACAGATGACATTATCATCTATAGAAAATCTAATAGAATCTACCCCTAAAGCTACTAGAGCTCATGGAGGGAATAGCAAGATTGCAGAAGGCAAGCTCAATATATAATAATCAACTGTATTTCCATACATTAGCAACAAACAATTAGAAAATGAAATCTTTAAAAATACAATTGATAATAGCATCAACAATCGGAAATGCTTAGGGATAAATCTGACAAAATATGTAAAATAAACTACGCTAGAAACTAGAAAACACGGCTGAGAGATAATAAAGAAAATCTAAAAGAATGGAGATATATCTTGTTGATGGGTCAGAAGCCTGGCTCAATATTGTTAAGACATTAGCTCTCCCCCAAATTACTATACAGCTTCAATACAAGATCAACCTGATGTCTCTTCCAAGTGAATGTCCATAAATGTCTACCATGAAATCCTTCCCTTTTCCCACACTGTCTCTGAACCCTGGCTCACGTCCATCATCGGAACTGATCTCCACAGGCAGGTAAACCTCCCCACCATGCTTCCTGTTTGCACAACTTCTAAGCTAAGAATCCTGCAGCTACTATCTTACTGTCCCAGATAATTCACAGCAACTGGTTCCAGCATCTCCGTAGTCTTAGAAATGGTGCAAATCTAGCTTTTCACCTCTACCCTGGCGGTGACCACCTGTCCTGGACCATCCATGACCATTGTCATCAGCCTGGAGCATCTTCCCTGAGGTGTCCTTGGAGATCCTGAGTCCAGCAGGAGATGAGAATGAAGGAAAGCAATAAATATATATGGTGGGTTCTGAGGCTGCCCTCAGCAATGGTGAGTACAGAATTCTCATCCAATGCCCGGGCATCCAGTGCCAAGGTCACTGCCTGGCACAAAAATGCAGTTAGTGTGGCCTCTGGTGACTGTGAAGCATCCCATGTTGCCACCAAGGGCATCACAACAAATGCAAGACAGATGTCAAAATTCAACCCATGGAGTCAGAATGGATAAGCAACAGTGGACCGTGGGGTGAAGCCTATGGCAAAAGCCACAGCAGCCTGAGACCAGGGGGATATCTTCTTAGCAGGCAGCCTCACAGATGTCCCCAGCCCCAGGAACATGCTGGCCTGAGCCCTGTGGGGTCCCTAGCAGGGTTACAGAGGGCTAACACAAGAGATGAGGAGACAGATGGGAGTTTGGGTCACTTATATCCCAACTGGGCTTTGAGAAGGGACCTCAAAGTAAATCAGTGAACAACAAACAACATTGGTGCATAGGGAAGAGCTTTTTGGCCACAAAAAAAAAAACCACAACCGTGTTAATGGAAGCAAAGGATGAGAATAAGCCCTCTCCTTCCCCTGGAGAATACTGATGGAAACAACCTGCCTCTTATAATGGCTTTCCTAGCCATCGTCTGCATTTGTGCAGCACTCTCATTTACTTAGACCCAGCACTGGTGGGCACCGTTATGCATGATTTTACTTTCCCCATTTTCCAGAAGAATATGCAGACCAAAGAGTTAATCAGCTTTGTGAGGACGCAGGACTCGGCTTTTCTGATGCAAGCCCCATGTTCTTTCTGCTCCAGGGCAGCCCCCTCCTAGCTTTCATCCACCCACGCTGAAACCCAGAGCTCCAGGATGAGAAGGATGCCCATACGGTGACTGCCCAGCCCAGGCCTGCACCACAGGTCTTGGCCCAGGATCTCTGATCTCTGCTAAGCCCAAACTACAACGAACAGCTCAGTAAAGCAACACAGAAGCAAGCCCTGGTCCCTGAGAGAAGAACGTTCTTGTACTGAGGCTGGATGCGGCCCAGACAGGAAGGACAGAGACTGGAGGGAAGGAGCTAACGAGACGAGAAAGGCCAGGCTTGTCCTGGAATGGCTCCACTGAGGTGCAATCCACGGTGCCTCCTGGAATTGCGCAGGGAGTGAGACAGAAGCGTAGGGTGAGCTGTGCTGGGGTGGGCATATGATGCCTCTGTTAGGCTGGGGTGAGAGTAACTGGGGGGCCTGAGGTGGGGTAATAGGGAGGGATGGAGGGAGTCAAAGGCCACTAATGGCATGTCAAGCAGCACTGCCCAGCACCCCTGTGCCCCTTCACCTGAACGGCAAAGACAGACAGCCGGATTGAGGCAAGTCTCAGGGCATTTCTTTCTTGCAGAGAATTGGGTGTCATGAGGCTCTGATTCTGGGGGTAGTAGGGCCTTCGTCCCATTGTTTGTTTCCATTGATTAGCTCCTAATCATTGATAAGCTGATCCAAAGATCAGCTCTTCAATCCCTGGTCCCAGCTCAGGGCAATACCCCAGGGGTATCTGTGCCAGTGAGTTGCTGATTCAGGCCAACTGCTTCCACACTGGACTAGTACCCTGTGAAGGCAGAGTTTCCGAGATGCCAGCCCCACTGTCCTGCGAGGAGGATGGAAGACCAGCGCTCAGGCAAATTCCACAAGGAGCTAGAAGCCCTCAGACCCTGGGCCAGCCAAATCTCTGCATGCCAGGGCCACAGCTACCACTCTCAGGGCCAGGGAAGGGCCTACACTGCCCCTGAGGGAGGGATTGCCACCTCGGGCTTAGGGTGGGGGCCACATTACATTACAATGAGGACCCCCTAAATGTTACTATAAGCACCCCCTAGATTTTAAGAGGAGCACCTCCTTCATTTTAGAACACCTTTTTATTTAACGGCAAATATCTCCTTAGTTTTAGGGAGAACACCTCCTTAATGAACGAGCACCTCCATGATGTTAGGAGGCATGTCTCCTTCATTTTGAGCCCTGGTGTCTTTCTGGGCCCACCCTGGTCCTGGTTCTCTGGGTGCCATAACTTCTCTGTGTTTAACAGAGAGCCCCGCCTAAATCTGAAAACCTGGCAGAAGCCTAAGGTCCAACTCCACAAAACAAGGAGTGGGCCACCCTCGCCCATGGGTTGAAGTGAGGCTTCTGAGAGAGCGGGGGGCCCACCGTTCCATCTCCAGGAACAGACACTCAGAAGACAGGAGAGGAGCTTCTTCTTAACCTGTGCCAATCCCATTCCTCGTTCAAGCCACCACTAAATTTCAGGTGGCACTTCATGTTCACCTCCTGCCAATTCTGGAGATTAATCCCCTGGAAGAAAACACTTAGGAAACTCCAGGCTCTGGGTAGAAACATTTTGGGGTCCTGTATCTATATCATGCGGAACGGGGATGCCTTCCAGGGAGATTTTGTTCCCAGCACAGTCCAATCAGCACACCCGGCCAGGGCCTTCCACAGCCAGCCCAATGTGGCTGTGTGGGGTGAGTGTTCGAGACAGTTCACAAAATTCCTGCAGCAGGGAATCTCACTTTTTTCTTCCTTCACTTTTTCTACTGAGTATGTTTGCAAAATGCAGCTGTGGAAGGGACCTGCTTTGGATGATACAGTGTTCTCCTCCACGGATCCTCGATGAAGTCTTAAGATGTAAAACCACCAATAGGATTCCATGACTCAGTGGGAGTCCCCAGACACCACCCCTACTCCTAGGAGCCTGAATCTCCAAGGATATGGGGCAGATGCTACAGGACCCAGAAATGCTTACTCCCAAGGAGTCAGAATATAATGCTTACTCCTAAGGAGTCAGACCAGACACAGGGACTTCCATGCCAAAATCTCAGGTAGCTAGATGACAGAGTAAGCTGCTTTTCCAGTCACCTGTATGTGGCTGCATAACGGGCCACTCTAAAACATAGTGACATAAGACTACAATCATGTGATTATGCCCAAAACGTTGTGGTTCAAGAATTTTGGCAGAAAGCAGCGGAAGCAGCTCACCTCTGCTCCAGGATGACTAGGGCCACAGGTAGGGTCACAGGTAGGGTGGCTGGCATGGCTCACAGGGCTGAGGTGGCTCATCTGATGCTTTAGTTCTGATTGTTGGTTGGGTCCATCACTTCCAGTCTATGTCACATCTGCTGGAGCTGGAATGTCAAAGATAACTTCTTCTGTCATTTGTCCTGTGCAAAGCTGAACCAGCTGGGACTGTTGTGCCCCCCCCATTTTTCTCTCTCTCTCTCTCTCTCTCTCTCTCTCTCTCTCTCTCTCGCTCTCACTCATTTCTCTCTCTCTCTTTTTAGCAGTCTTTCTACAAGGCTGGCTTGGGCTTCCTCACAATATGTCGATCTCACTTCTCAGAGATTAGCAGGAGTGTCTTCACAACAAAGCTATTCTTAGCCAACTTTCCTGAGAGACAGAACCCAGCACATCGCTGAGAAAACTGGGAGACCTTAGGGTTGGCAGTTCCCACTTGGGAGGTGTGCAGATGAAACGAGATGTATGGAGAGGGCCTACTGTCTGCATGGCATGTGGTGGCACCTGGGTGACAGACAAAAAGGCTGACATACCCAGGAAGCTTCCAATCCCAGACACCTCCTGGCCAGTCCACATCTCTGCCTCCCACTGCTCAGATAAAGCCCAAACATCAACCTGCAATGGCAGGGCATGCCTTCTGCTTTATTCCTGGGAAGCCTCCTTCACTAGGTCCCCACACAGAACAGACCCTCCACTCTCCTGGCCCTGCTGTGCCACTGGACAACAAAGCCACCTGTGCCACACCATCGGGAGCCAAGCCAGAACTGTGCTTCAAGTCCAAGTCAACAAAGAAACTGGCAGATACCCTGTGCTGGGAGAAGGGGTGGCCAGGAGCACCTGAAGCTGGTCTCTGTCCCCCAGCCACCACCAAATGTCACCAAAGTCTCTCACCATCTGCACAGGATCAGGGAGATTTCTGAAATATCAATCCAATCTAAAAACGAGTCCCTTCTGCTCACACTGTGGAACCCGATATTTAAGGACCCCACAGTCACCTCGATCCATGGACACTGCCCATTGCCCCCCACTGTGCCCCTGCTCCTGCTGTTAGGGGCCCCCACCCCCCACAGTGCTTGGTCCCTCCATTGGCACAGGTTCATCCCTGCTGCTTTCCTAGTCCCCTCTGGCTTCCTCTTTATTCATCTTTCCTCATAGTCCCACAAGTGGTCCCTCCTCTCTGGCCCCAGAGCTCCTGGGTGACCTCATCCAGCCTGGGTCACTGCCCTCGCTGAATACACTTTTCTCAGTCCACATCACACCTCTCCTGCTGGACTAAGTATACCCCAGGAATAAGCCCGGTGCCTGGGCCAACCAGTAACCACCGAAGACCACGTGGACCTAGAAGAAGCGGGCAGGAGCCACCTCCTCCCCGCCCCAGGAGGGTGGGCCTGCCGCTCCCAGCAGAGCTGCCTGGGTATCGAGGCCAGAAGCAGACAGAGCAGAGGACAGAGGAGGGACTCAGTATGGGTTCATGTTGTCTCAACCTGGCTTGCTCTGCGTCCAGGAACGCAAGCCCCAAAAGTGGGAGGATCAGGCAGGAAGCGATGACCCCTTGGCCTAGATGTCAAAGGGCTTTACCATCTCTCGTGAGTGCCCCAATGATTCCCTTCCACCTTGTATGCATTGAGGACCCATACTCCTGGCTCCCCACTCTCTCTTCCTCCCGCCAAGGGGCATCCGTCAGTCTTGGCATGCAGAATCAGGCCGGCTGTGGTTGGGAGGGAGCTTGTGGGAGAGTGGCCCCATGCCCCTCAGTGCAAAGTGGCTGGCTGGACACTGGGAAAGCTGCCAAGGCTGAATTGGGGGAAGGAGTCACCTCTTTGCATTGATCACCTGACATCTATCAGGCACTAAGCCGTGCGTTCCAGACTCGTTTTCTCCAATCCAAGCAATGACCCTCTGAGTTATAACTTATTCTGCCCCTTCCACAGATGAGAAAACACAGCTTGGATGAGTTCAGTACTTACCATTTGTGTGTAATGACACACAGAACTGGGATGTCCATACAGCTCTCATTTCTCTGTTGCCATTTTTTAATTTTTTTTTAATGCAAACCAGCACTGTCTCTACAGTATTCCTTGAATGCCCCTCTGACTGCTGACCCTTTGTTTGTCTAAAGAATACAAAACAAAAGGTATCAAAATAGCTCTCCACATGCCAAACGGGTACAGGTCCAGGGAGGAAACTGAGTTCCCAAGGCCCTCTCCTGCCATCTGCTGGTCATCAGCCACAAGCCCCTGCAAATCAGCCAAGATGACCTGCCATGTAGGTGGAGCCCACGCCTGTCCTATGGAGTGCTCGCAGGCATCAGCCCTGACTCAAACACCCTTCCCTGGCCCAGGGCAGGAAGCACTCCTTCCCTAGCCAGTGATTCACTGAGCACCTGTGACATGCTTGGCATCAGTTAGCTCATTGCGGTCCTCATGACCACTGTGTGCAGGAGGTATCATGAGGAAACTGAGACTCAGAGAGACTGAGTGACTGTGCTATGAACTGGAAAATGAGAGACCAAAACTCTGGCTCTGACCTGGGCATGCATCTATAGTTGGGTGGTTGGTTTAACTTACATTCTGTGTGCCTCAGTTTCCTCTACGTAAAGTGGGGATAACAAGAGTACCTTCTCGTAGGACTGCTGCAATGATTAAATAAGTGAATGAATTCTGAGTGCTGAGAACAGGACATGACAAAAACCAAATAAATGGCCATTTGCCTGCACAACACACACATACTCACATGCACTCACATATTCACACATGCACATTCACACACATACACTCCATACACACACATGCATTCATACACACTCACATAGACACACACACTTACACTCACATATACACTCACACTCACATATTTGCACATGCACACTCACACGCATACACTTACACATGTACACACGCTCTCTCACACATACACTCACACACACTCACATATACACTCAAATATACTCACATTCACACATGCACATTCACACACATACACTCCATACACACATACATGCACTCACACACACACACACTCACATATATACATTCCCACACATGCACTCATATATACACATTCACATACACATTCACACGCTCACACATGCCACACATGCACACATATACTCACACATACATGCACTCACAAGCTTACCCACACTCACACACACACGTGTACACACGTGCACACATGCATCCCGGCAGGCAGTGGGAAGCAGGAAACACACACCACCTAGAGCTGGCGGCCTCCATCTGGTCTCTGGGCCCTTGCTTTCCAGCATGTGTCCTTGAGTGAACCACACAGGCCACTGAGCTTCGTCCTCCACTGGGAAATGTGGAGAGTGACACTCCTGTGCCACAGGCCTGCTGGAACGGCCAGGACGTGTGCACCATGGTGTGGAAGCTCTGAAGTGCTCTGTAAGTTTGGACCCTTCAGTTAGGCTGACACTGCAGTGGCCTGTTAGCATCACCAGTGCTTGCCCCAGGTGAGCCAGCAGGGCAGCTGGAACCTGGAGAGGGTGGGAGACTTAGCTTCTCCCTTTTATGAACCGAGGGGCTGGTGGCACATTAGTGTGGGCAGTCGCCCATGAAGCACAGTGGAGCCCCAGAGCCCTCCATCCATCACTCAGAAAACAGAACCGCCTCTTCTCACCTGCCTAGATCCAAGTGCTTTGTCCCCTAATCCCCTGCCCCAGTATCTCTGTGATCACTCCCTTCTCCTGGAATCAAGGGGTGGAGTTTTGGTGGCTTCAGTGCAAGGCTCTTCCCTGCTCTCCAGGAGGGGCGTTTCAGCACTGGACGAAGGGCTCCCTTCAGCTTGGGACACCAGGGGATGGAAGCCCACACAATGTCCCTGCCAGGGAAGAGAGGAAGCACAAGAAGCCTAGAAGCAGCCCCATGAGCAGCAGGGATAGCCACAGCACAGCCCACCATCTTTGACTGGGAGGGAGAGAGGATGAAACCACCCTCCAGCACATAGCAGGGGCGTGATCAGAGCCCAGAGAGAAACAGGGTGCCCAGCAGTGTAATCAGTTAGGGGCAGAAAGACATCTGCTCAGCAGGCCAATGCACTGCCCCTGGAATATTTCTACTGGGGACTGCAAGGGTTAGTGCTGTGCTGGTTGCAGGAAGCCGTGGGAGCCAGCAAATCCCTGGGAGAGAGCACCCAGAAACAGCAAGTCTAGAAAGGCGGGTCCAAGATGAAATTCACCCAGGACAAATGGAAGCTCAGCACCAACTGCCAAGAAAGGGCAGGAGGAGAGCTGAGGCTGAGCAACATCTCCTTGTCAGAGCGAAAGCCCAGGGGTTTCATCAGCACTGGGTCCAAAGCAATGAACAATGAGTGTGACCTGCAGCCACCCCTCAGCAAGCAAGACCAAGACCATGCAACAGCAACCAGTGACCCGAGCAAGAGAACAGGGCTGGAGCACGGCCCATCCATGGCCAAGCCCTGAAGCCAGACACACAGCACACACTGGTGTGGGCCCCAGCACATGGCCGAGAACAGCTGAGAACCGAGGGGCTGGTGGCATGTTAGAGTGGGCAGTTGCTGGGGGCACTGAGGGTGGCTGCTCTGGGGAGGCTTAATCAGAAGTCGTCTGGGCTCTGCCTGGAGTTCCAGGGACCAATCCCAGAGGCTTCCAGCTCTCTTGCACCTTGCCAGTCACAGCTGCCTGTGCCATGAAGAGAAGAATCTACCTTGGCTATCAGTCCCCAGGGATGAGGCTCACTCCACAACCAAGGAACCCTTAACAGGGCAGTGCTGTGGTGTAGAGCACCAGGCCCACTCTTCCTTCTTCTCTTGCCCCTTAGTGTTGATCGGCGTGGGCACTGAGACCTTCCTCCGGGGGCAATTCAAAAGCCTGGCTTTCTATCTGCTGTAAGTATCTGTGCACACGCCACTTTTGACCTGCAAGTTCTGCTCAACTCACCCTACGTCTGTCTACTCAGAATAATGCAGAGCAGTGCCCTTCCCACGCTAGTTCCATCCTTATCTCATGGGTGAAGGGAGTCAAGGGGGGCTCTAAAATAGTTCCTGGTTTGTGCAGACCATCCCGTAAATCAATGAATTATCCATTCTACCCACCTATCCATCCACCAATTCATGCAGCCAGCCACCCATCTAT